CCCACCTTCCCTCCCTCGCTCCCTCGCCCGCCCGCCCGGCCGCGCCTTTCACTCGCCCGCCGGCCTGCACCGGGGAAGCTGCGCCGCCGCCGCCGCCGCCGCCCACGTTCCGCGTCCCCTCCCTCCCCATCCCCCCAGCACCATGATGGAGGAGATCGACCGGTTCCAGGTGCCCACGGCGCACTCGGAGATGCAGCCGCTGGTGAGGGCGGGCGGGCGGCAGCGGGGCGGAGGCTGCTTGGGAGGGGGACCCTCGGGGTGGGGGGTGGGGGGCAAGGTGTGCCAGGAGACCCCCACCTTCCGGCGCAGGAGGAGTTGGGGGCTTAGCCGGGCAGGAGGAGCAGAGGCGAGGCATGCACCGGCTGATAAGAGAGAGCATCTCACCGTGGTCGGGGGAAGAGACAGGTTAGGCACTGCGTGGGGAAAGAGAGAAGGGGGGGGGTTTCAGAGCCCCGAATGGAGGAGTGGGGAGCTCATGGGAAAGAGGTATAGAGAGCAGCTGGAAGGAGGAGAGGGAGAAGTGGGAGCCCGTGGGGAAGCGGAGTGGGGTTGGGGAGGGAGCAGCAGGGCTGGAGGAAGGAGAGGAGGAGATGAAGAGGCCCTTTGTAGGGGGGAGGGGGGTGGAGACCAGAAGCGGGAGGCGGGAGATGGCTTCGACCGGAGGCATAGAAAACCTGAAGGGATGGGAGAAGCCGAAGAAGGAGATCCCCGCAGTGGGAAGCAGTGCGGGCAGCTAGAGATGTGGAGTTAGATTGGGGGGGAGGGGGAGCCTGAACCAGACTGAGCAACAAGAGGGGAGTGGGAGGTAGCAGGAGGTGGGATGGGCAGGAAGCCTGGCTGGGAGGAGAACACTAATACCAAGGGTAGGCATTGCTGGGATGGGGAGACATTTGGTGGAGGAGTGGGGGGAGGGGATGAGGGGAGTGAGCGTCCCTAGGAATGGAACTAAAGATATCAACCTCCCCCCCACCCTCCATTCAAGTAGCTGAGGATGGGGAATGAAGGTAGGCGAAAGACAAGAGAGGCCTGAGTCCAGGAGGCAAACGAAGGGGGAGCTGATGGAAATGGAGGTGCAACAAACTGTGAAGGCTGAAACCTGGGAATCTGAGAATGGGATCACAACCCAGTGTGTTGGAAGGCTTGGCTTTGAGGGATGTTGGTGAAGCTGTAAAAATGACCATTAGTTTTACTCACTGGCCAGAATTGGAGAAAGGCTAAGGGACCCCATATTCCCCAGAAAGTCCTGGAAAGATTGTTTGGGAAAGCAGGTACTCCTGTGGTGGTAGTACAGTAACCCTAGGCATTTATCAGCTACCCTCAGCTCATCCCTACTACCCGGGGGGTATGTTTGGAGAGTCCAAAGGCTTCCCTTTATCCCTTCCTGAGCATTGGTGCCTGCCTGATGCTGCAAGCAGTCTCTGCCAGTTTGAGCCCCTGTGTCAGTAAGGGAATGATGTAATCGCTTCCAGCGCAGTTGTGTTGGGAAGGGGAAAGTAGAAAAGAATACACATACAGTGCATCTGAACCTGGGATAGGTGGGGGGGGAAAGACATTGTCTGCTTCTATGCTAGGGACCATCCTCTGTAACAGACTTAAGTGGCATCTAGAGGTGTTACAGAGGAGAAAGAATGAAATAAGAGCCCTAACTTGGTTCTAACTTAGTAACCTCTTGTCAGGTTTAATTGTTTTCTTCTTTGGAGGAGTGTGGGGGTTGGGGAGATCAGGAATCTTGCCCCCCCAGAGATATGCCTGGAAACTGAAGAGTCTCCTAGAGGTTGATGGAGAGGGATTTGTGAGTGAATATGGAAGAGGTTTAGTTTGATTCCATGCTGGAGGTGATTTCTGTAAACCCTTAATCTACATCTCCAGGTTCTTCCTCCCATTATTTTGCCCAGAAGCTACAAAGCATACTTCCTTTTCTCCAGACCTGGGGGTACTTTTAGTAGGTACAATATTGGGCTTTATGGTTTTTAGGGCAATAATCTATAGATTACAGCTTCTTAAACAATTATTAGATCAGAGCAGTGACTGAAAACCTTTAGGAGTTGGTGGGAAATGGATCACTTTAATGACTGATTGTCCACCTTTGACTATGGAATTCTAGAAGAGGATTTAAGGGGAGAATACACTGACTTTGAAAGGGGTAAGACTGAAAGGAGGAATATCTCCAGAGAAGAGAGAAAGGAGTTGGATGATTTCTCTTATCTGGATGGGAAGGAAGCAGGTATGGGCATAGGAAGAGAAAGAATGTGAACATATTAATGCTTTGCCCGTCTTGTTTTAAGCCTGCCATGGCCACCTGGAATTATGTCAATATGTTGGGATGGCCACCTGAGCTCTTGCTTTGGGATTTTGTGTTGATGTTTGTTTATGCTTTGGGTGGCAGTGAGTTTTGGTGCATCCTTAGCTGTTTGTGGGTTGTATAGGAATGGGGTTGTAGACTGTCTATATTTACTGCTTGCAGACACTGAGCATTTTAATGGAAATGTCTTGACTCTTTGGCTTCCTTGAGACCCTTTAGTCTACTATAGGTGTACTCTGCAAGGAAATGCTTTGCTATGTTTCAATGATGGTTTAGGTTAGAGCATTTTAATGGAATCACAACTCTAGAATTCACAGATAAGTAACACAGTTGTAATTCTTAATAACAGGAGGTATAGCAATTAGTCTGTTGTTCTCTTTTACTTGATCCCCAGCCACCAATTTAAAGAGAGCTAGGCACCTACATTCCCTCCCCCCAAGCCCTACAGCAGCTTGTGCTTTGGGAATCAAGAGAGTCTAATTCAGTCTTTCTCTCAGGAGAGAGCTCAGTGTTTCCTGGAAGCCCAAGACAATCTATACCTTCAACTTCAGACACCAAACTCAGAACATAAGGGGACAGAAATTAGATCCTGAAAAAAAAGTCAAAGAAATGAAATGAAGGCAAAAGGGATATTAGGCAGGAATGAAAAGTAAAAATGGTTATTGGGTAGAACAGAGAGGTCTACTGATCTGTCCCTTCTCATCTCTGAACTTCTGTTACCCTAGCCATGAAATGAAGAGTAATCATTCCTCCCCTTCACCCCTAACCCTCTCTAACTCCCAGAATTGTCTGGGAATTTGAGAATCCTCCTCTCCCCTAAAATAGTTTAGACATTTCAGAAAACAGAGTAGTGTTGCCACAATTTGAAGTTCTAAGGACATGGCAGACCAGGGTGCAGTGGGGAACAGTGCATTGTCGTTGGCAGCATCATTAGGCCTGTCTGGAACAAACTGCTTTGCAACCAGTCAGGAGTTTAAGGTTCTCAACCTAGCATCTTTGAAGTACCCTTGGCACTTTACCTCTATGGCAGCAGCTAATCAAATTACTTAAATACTCATAACCTCCCTGAGGGGGTAGTATAAAAATAGTATTCCTTGTTTAGAAGTCTGATAAGCTTGTGGGTTGGAGGGAGAAGGGGAACAGGGGGGAGAGTATATCTTAATTTTCTGCCTGAAAGAGAACTTTAAGCTTTAAAAGGAATTGGGAGGGAGGGGAACACTGTAGCTAGCTAAGAAAATGTTTCCAAGGTGCTAATTTAAGCATTAACTGTCAGCAGGAAGAGATCTTAGCCCTGCTACTGTTCTGTGTGAAACTAGGCAAGGCTATAGGTTTAGGGATGGAGTTTGCCCTGGAGTGTATTTCCTATTGCTTATCTCTTTTTTCCCAAGCTCCATAGTGACCTGACATAGGCCTGCTTATCCTTAGGCTGGGCAGAGGCCCTTGTCCTGAGATCTTCACAATGTAAGATTGGGCCCCAGTCAGCTCCCTTTATCCTTTGAAAAGGAAATGAAATGAGATTAATTCCCCGGTCCCTACTTATACTGTATCTGCCTTCTAGACAATCCTAAGTATGTTCCAAGAGCATGAATTCTCCTGAGAAGTTTCAGGGGGTAAGGGATATTGTATATTGTAATGTTAGTCTCTGGGACTGAGGTTATGCTGCTGCTGCTGCTACTATTATTTGGGGAGGGAATTCCAGCTGCCAGATCCTTTTTGCGCATCGATTACATTTGATTCAGGATGTTGTCTTGCTGAACAGCCAAGACAGGTAGATGGTTGCCTGTTACAAGAACTGTCTACTCTGCTTATGTGGTACAGCATAGCTTTTCCAACTGCAGCTGAGAAAGAAGAGAGGAAAAGATTTGTTTCAAAAAGAAAAATGGAATTTTTAAGCATTTAAGTGTGTCATGCATGTCATGACATATTCTCGACAGGAGCATACAAGACTTGTGGGATCTCTAGGTGCCTAAGACAATCGCTGGTTTGTGTTCCCATGGTAAGCCAGTGAAAATTTCTTTTAGAATAAGTGTGATCTTTTTGAAGACAGTAGAGGGAATGGATTCCAACTGGTAAAAGGAAATTTTAGAAGTAGCCCTAGGGAAGAACTTGTGACACAATCATTGCCCATGAAAGCAGTTCCCAAGAGAATCTGTATCCTCTTTTGGAGATGTTAGCATAGGTTTAGAAGTGAGGAATTTTAAAAAATGATGTGTTGAGACATTTTGACCCCT